ATGAGAAACCCAAAGCATAAATGCAGAGCAAAATTAAAGATAGATAAGAGGAAGAAGGGAGATAGATCTTTCTCAAAGGGAAGCAGATCAAGAGATGGAGGGAGGGGAGGGGGAGGAAAGGGCATGAGACAAGGAATTAAGTTGTACAGTGTTATGTACGTGTACCAACTGCCCGTGAGGAATACAATCATTATATACAGCAATGTACCAATTATTTTAAAATGAGGAAAATAACCTGAATATTCTCTAAACATCCATCAGTAGGGAAATTATTAAATATCCCATGACTGCTGGGTGTGGTGGTGCACACCTGTAATCGTAGCACTCAGGAGTCTGAGGCGGGAGGATGGCCAGGAATTCAGTTGGAGGCCAGCCTGGGGTGCATAAGCAAATTCAAGGTCATCCTGCACTACACAGAGAAAACCTGTTTCAAAAAAATAAAAAAAATTGAAATAAATAAAATAAATACACTATGACAGTTGTGGTGGTGCATGCCTGTAATCCCAGCACTCAGGGGGCTGAAGGAGAAGGACTGCCGTGACGTCACGGCCAACCTGGGCTACGTACAGGAGTTAAAGCCAGCTTCTACCACATAGCGAGACCCTGTCTCAAAACAAACAAAAAATAAGAAATAAATACACCATGACATATACACACTATGGAATATTGTAGGCCTTTAAGTGAATAAGGTAACCCTGTACGTATGGGGAAGGAAAGAACCCTGATGTATCAAAAGTGAAAGACTCAAGTTGGAGGATGTGACAATTTACCTGAAAAAAAAAAAGATGATACACACCTGACAAACCTATTTTGCTGTATGTAAATATGGATGTAGGCAAGTGTTCTCCCACTAAACTGCACTCCCAATCCACATGAAGTTGATTTACGACCATACAATTTCAGTTTCAATCAGCTGAGGTTGATCTGATGTAAGACAGGGAAATACCTTTCTCAGAAATGTTGACTTCACGATTCTGGCCCCCAAGGATCTTACAATGAAGTTTTTGTACTCATATTTGGAAAGAAGATACTCACAGTTTCTGAGCCCAGCGGTATGTTTTCCATATCCCTTCTGGAATGGCACGAATAG